AACTGATGGTGATCCAGGTTCTTGTTTGACCTCGTCAAGTGGTTGGAAAGAGCTTCTGAACTTTGGCGCTTCTCTAGCCTTCGCCTCTACCTTAAAAGAGTGAAATAAAAGATCATACAGGAACGGGAACAGATAGAATGCTGAATTTCACTCAAACCTGTCTCGTTATGCTTTCAATGATTTCTATATCCTCCTTTTCCTCATCTGTGTCGTAATCCTTGTAATTTGCAGAAACTGCTATAAAAGCATCATCTTCCACAATACGCAACCTAATGAGAAATATTAAAATTAGCAAATCAATGGTAATGAGCACAAAATACGTGACACATACTACTCCAAAAGATACCCTGATCCACGAGGCGGTTCTTTAACCTTCTTCTTCTTTTTCTTTTTCTTCTCGTCTTCATTGCCAGAAGATAGATACCTTTGTAGGTATTCAGCCTTCGAAAGTGTGGTCATTCAATGTTTTTGACAAGCCTGCTGAATATGAATGTCTTTTATTAGATCTTATTTATAAAAGGACTTAGGAACTATAAAAAAAATTGTAAAAGGACTAATAGCACTGAACCTTGACGCAGGATTTAAAGCGAATAGGCTATGAAAATACGCTCAAAACAGCTACAACAGAAAAAAAGGAACAACTTTTCTAGCTTTAAAGCTTGCATTGGGAAAAATTTCCTCAAAACGAAGCGGATTTTCTGTGACTCGTCGGATCTACTGATATGATATGCTGATGCTTTACGTAACAAAAAAGTTCGTGCAGAGTTCGACTGAATACAGTAATAATAGGGCTGGCAGGTTCGAATAAAGACCATTCGAAATTTATTAGGCGTCTGCGGCGCGTGTTGTTCGTGACTGCGTCCAACAACTTCGACCTGCCGTCACAATTTTCGAACGCTGGGTTATTCAATCGTATTTAGCTCACTCTTTAAAATGATGCTCTTTTTGATTACTGTTCGTTTCGAAAGTTATTTGGGGTCTGTTTCAGTAAGAGGGCATTGCGGTGAATGGCCTGCTTTAATGCCAGTTTGGCTTAAGGAGTATTTCAAGTTACGAGCTGCTATCAGCTTTTCCTGCGTTGTTTCTTCTGGTTTTTATCTAATGAGTGTTTTCTTGTATGACATAAACGTCTATAACTGATATTTACCCAGTGAATAGCTAGTACTAAGTCTCGGGGAGGGAGAGTCTCCTGTGGAGGAAGCGAAGATTGCGCACCAATACGTTGGTTTTTCTTCAATTTACGGCTAGTCCTAAACCTTTACACTAGAAGAATATGCTATCTGTGGCATCAAACACGTTGATTGTTTGAACGGGATCTCCTTTATTGGATTATACCGCTTATTTCTTTGTTCGACTTAGTTTTGTGGCCAAGATTTTCTTCGACTGGAAGCGAATATACTAGGGTAATAGTATTTTCTGACCGAGAGCAGCTCATCAAAAAGGAATTAAGGTTAATATGTCTACCGATGTTCAACATGTGCCAAACACCAGTGATGAGAGCAATGCTGCGGACAAAAATGCGGATGATGGCGAAGGAGGTATTTTGAATGTTTTTTCGTTTCCGTTGAGAAGTATGTTCCTTCCCTACACATTTTGAATTATCTTCTGATTCAAGGGATACAACAACCAGACCAGATGCAGAAAACGCTGTTGAACTTAGTATTTCGATCCATGAAACGGACCCATGATATGTTTAGCAATGACTACACGACATTTCCGGAATTATCAGAAAAAGAGTAAGTTATAAATGTGAAGTTAGTAGTGACCCGTTCTATATTCATGTTTCAGTTTGAATTTCGTTCGATCTCTCAAAAAGCGATGCGAGTATAGTTCTGTTATACGACATGTAGAAGAGGCTAAGAAACGGCGGGAACAAGAGCTACTGAAGGTGCAGTTTTTTCTTGTTAAATTATAATCTTGTTATTGTCTTTTCCTTTGACTAGTTAATTTTTTTCATAGTTTTTCTAAGTCAGTAGTCCGGTGCTAGCCTGGGGCGGTATTCAATCCTTCCCCCAGGGGGATATATCCCCCTACTCTGATTCAATCCTCTGGGGGGACAAAAAAGGGTTGCGTCATAGGACCTAGCATACCTCTGTGTTTCTACCTGCCAGACAGTTAGAGCAGCGCGACCCCTCAGGGGAAAGAGTGCTTCATCAGTGGAGGGTAGTAGCTCTGGGTAGAAACACAGAGGTATGCTAGGTCCTATGACGCAACCCTTTTTTGTCCCCCCAGAGGATTGAATCAGAGGAGGGGGATATATCCCCCTGGGGGAAGGATTGAATACCGCCCCTGTTCGGGTAGGAGGACGAGGAGTACGCGGCAGCGCTGCGCTCTCTTCGTCTGCGACGCCAAGGGTTACCATTACAGGCCTGCCATTACCATTATATACCATTACCTTACCGTGCACAAGCTTACATCCATTCTTGGCACTGGCGCTATTCAACAGCAATCTGGAAGCGCCAACCTCGAATGCATTTTGTCATTATGGGTAATCGAACTTTAAGCCAGTTTCACCATTCACAGCTTCCTTGGCAGCTTTATGAAGCAGTTTTGGTCTTCATAATTGTACCAGCACACCAGACTATCGATTCGCCTAGGTCTCGACTCAAAGTTACATGGGAATTTGAAAACCTTTCCTGCTTAGTCTGCGGTGCTGCTGTATTTCAAAACTGTCACGTGGCGGCGAAATAGTAACGGCTCCTACGACTACGACTTCTACGCATTAGAGGTGCAAACGAACAGAGCGCCGCGCCACCGTATGATCTCCACCCCTCTCCCCTCCGAACTGGGTTAGCATCTTATTCCAATTGAATAAAACTGTAACATAGTCACTCATTTGCAAATGGTTGTTCTGGAAAAGCAGTATATGTGCTATCTTGTGAAAACTGTTCGCAAACTTCGAACGGTAGGGTGCATCGAAAAGCAGCTACCAATCCCTGAATTCGGACAATGGCGAGGTGTAGTAGGTAGGCTTTGGTACGTATGGTAGAACAATCGCTGAACTCATTGAAATTCCGGCGGAGTCTGCTAAGTTGAGGTCAGGGCTCCATATCTATTATCTCGAAGGGTGCTGATATTGCACCCCAAATTGCTCTTATCACCATCGCTTTAATGAAGGAACTGAGGGGCGCCTAAAGAAAAAGGCCAAGAGACGGCTCGCAAGACGAAAGTAATACGAACATTGATATTGGGTATCACCTCTGAAGTGGATTTATAGGATCTGCACCATGAATAACTTTGCCTTCTCAAAATAAGAACCCTGTTTCACTTCGAATTTTACTCATATTGCTGTTTCACTTCAAATTTTACTCATATTGCTACTTCTTTTTAGTTACCGTCCAGTCAACCAAGTGTTGGAATTGGATCTGTAGTAAACTCGTCAGACAGGCCAATGGCCATCACCGATGGGACAGGGAAGGTTGTTCAGACTGGCAGTTCTCAGGGGTTCGTCAAATAATATTCTTACTAGGTAGCCCGTAATGCTAACTAATGGTGTTTCAGACAAGTGCTAACCACTCTCCCGGTAGGTTCAAGCGGCGGCAAATCAGATGATAATACTACTCGATCATTACTGCCGCTCCGCGCACCAATGATGGTCAAACCCAAATGGCATGCACCTTGGAAACTCTATAGAGTGATTTCTGGTGAGTATTTCTTGATCCTAATGAGAAATGAAGAATTTTTATCGCAGTGAGGACAATGTCTCTTCAGGGCATACGGGATGGGTACGGGCTGTCGATGTTGAACCGCAAAATCAGTGGTTCGCTAGCGGTGGAGGTGATCGTATTATAAAGGTGAACTCGTTGTGTATACACTTTGTAGCCTGCCCTATTTGCTCATTTTATACTTTTTTTTCAGATCTGGGATTTAGCAACGGGAAAGCTCCGACTTTCTTTAACTGGTCACATCAGTTCAGTGAGAGCAGTTAAGATTTCTCCTCGACATCCTTTCTTGTTTTCTGGAGGAGAGGACAAGCAGGTTGGTGAATAAGCTATCAATTTAATGCAACAATAATAATTATTATTACAATTATTGTCATAATTAACGTTAAATTTTCAATGCAGGTGAAATGCTGGGATCTTGAGTATAATAAAGTGATTCGACACTACCACGGTCATCTCAGTGCGGTACAAGCGCTGAGTATTCATCCAACACTGGACGTACTTTTCAGTTGCTCTAGAGATTCCACCACAAGGGTGGGTATTTTGTTTATTGGTCAACTTTTTTTATTTTCTACACTTTCCTTAATCTAGTGCAATTTATACTTTTTACGGTTAGTTTACTTGTGTTTAGGTATGGGATATGCGTACTAAAGCTCAAGTACACTGTTTGGCTGGACATACGAACACCGTATCTGATGTTGTATCCCAAGCTGCTGATCCTCAGGTAAACTTTTTAGCTTCATTAAATTTCATTGCAAAGTTTGTAATGTGATCAAAGCATTGCCTGACTTGCTTCTAATAAATCGACCATTGTTTGGGTTTGCTAGAATTCTCATTGAATTAGTAGTCGATTAAATACATTTAGGTGATAACAGCATCGCATGATTCTACTGTTCGTCTTTGGGATTTGGCCGCGGGACGGTCAATTTGTACGCTTACGCACCATAAGGTGCGTCAATCAACGCTGTTTCGGGGTTAACAGACTATTTACGAAATTGGACCCTTCATTTCTTTAGAAGTCAGTGAGGTCACTCGTGCTTCATCCGCGATTGTTCATGTTTGCCTCGGCATCACCTGATAACATTAAACAGTGGAAATGCCCCAATGGGGAGTTCATGCAGGTGAGTTTTGTCCTGTTTATATTTTCGCTGAGAGTGATCCAAATTTTCGAAAATTGTTATGCTAAATCAAGCTACCTTCACTTAGAAATTGTTTCCTTCCATACCTAAACGGATTTGTTATCTGTTGCGAAAACTTCGCTTTAGAATCTTTCTGGTCACAATGCAATAGTAAATTCATTGGTTTGTAATGAGGATGGCGTTCTCGTATCTGGTGGTGATAACGGTTCAATGTGCTTCTGGGACTGGCGGTCAGGATTTTGTTTCCAAGTAAGCTATTTTCCTGTTATTCCTTTAGTTGATAGTG